CCCAGATCCACCCCCACGTCTGTACTGGCCTAGCTTTTTGTACTCATCTAAACCAACTGGACCTGACTGTGCATTCTTGGGTGTGTGGCCATCACTTGGTAGGTGTTTGACCTACCAAGAACCACACCCTTAAAGAAAACTAACTCTCCCTCTTCCCACAGGTATTGGTTACCATTAGCTCCTCAGCTAGGAGTGGGACTTCATGGCCGCAGTTAACACCAATACTCCTCAAACTGTTCAACAAAACAGAGAGACTGAAAACTATGAAGCTCACGTAGGAAGCCACTATGACCCTGACACCAAAACCAGATAAAGACACAACAGAAATAGAAAACTACAGGCTAATATCCCTGATGAATACATACACAAAGATCCTCAATAAACTTCTTGAAAAGTCTACTCAAGAGCTCATTAATGCCTGCCTTTACGGCAAGGCCTGCAATTCTAGCAGGCTTAGGTAGGAGGATCACCATGAGTTCAAGGCTAGTCTGAACACTTAGTGAAATCCTGTCCCAGAAACATAAATAAATAACATATTAAAAGAAGATGTACTTCATAGCCAAGTTGGCTTCACCTTCAGGTAATACAATGTTGGTTTCAATATATGCGAATACACAGATGTAACACAACACATAGACTTAAGGACATAAATCACATGATCATCTCAATAGAGACATGGGAATTTGACAAAGTTCAATATCTGATGAGAGCCCACAAGGAACTAGAACCAGATAGGCCATACCTTACCTCATAAAGGCAGCATGCTACACTGTAGGCAACTTTCCGCTAGTGGGGAAAACCTGCAAGTGTCACCACTTCACCCTCTCTGCCCACCACTGTTATTCATCTAGTGCTCACAGTCTTGGCTAGAGCAATATGACAAGAGGGGAATAAATGGATGTAAAAGAGAAATAATACATCAAAGAAGCACTATTTGTGGACAACATGATCTGATGACCGACAGACCCTGGTAATTCCACCAAAAAGTTCTTAAACCTGATAAAGTTTCATCCAAGTAACAGGGTGAAAATTGAACATATGGAAAATCAGTAGCTTTTCAGCATAGCAATAATGAATTTGCCGAGGAAGAAATTAAGGGGCACAAACCCCACTCACAACAGGTTCAATAGAGCTGAAATACTTAGGAATAAACCTAAGTGAGAAGATGAAAGACCTTCACAATGAAAACCTTTAGATCCTGAAAAGGGCAGGCACCACGGCTCAGTAGGTAAAGGTGCTAGTGACCAAGCCTGACCATCTGAGTTTAGCCTCTGGAGCCTACACTGTAGGAGAGCACAGATCCATGCACGTTATCCTCTGACCTCCATAGGTGTGCTGTGGCAGACACACAAACACACACACACACAGATACACAGACACACACACATAAACACACACACACAGATACACAGATACACACACACACATATAAACACACACAGAGATACACAGACACACACACACATAAACACACACACACACACATAAACACACACACACATAAACACACACACACACATAAACACACACACACACACACACACACACACACACACACACACGATTTTTAAAAGAATACCCTGAAGGAAGAAGTTGAAAGGGACACTAGAAGATCGAAAGACCTCATGGATTTGTAGAATCAATACTGTAAAAAAAAAATGGCTATCTTGCCTAAAGCAAACTCCCAAGTCAACACAATTGCTTCAAAATTCCAATGAGATTCCCCACAAAATATGAAAATGAAATGATCCTAACATTCGCATAGAAACAAAAGCATTTCCAAAGCAATCCTGAACAGAAAGCAATGCTGAAAGCATCACAGCTGATGGTATCAAACTATACTCCAGAACCATAGTGACAAAAACAGCATGGTGCTGACACAAAAAATAAACATGCAGCCCAATATAGAACACAGAAATAGAGGACCCTCACAGATACAGACACGTAGTGAGCATACATGCATGCATACAGGACCCTCACAGATACAGACACGTAGTGAGCATACATGCATGCATACAGGACCCTCACAGATATAGACATGTAGTAAGCATACATGCATGCATACAGGACCCTCACAGATATAGATATAGACATGTAGTGAGCATACATGCATACATACAAACATGCAAACACCCATACATTAAAAAAAGATTTTCAATATATTTTAACTGTTTTTTTTAAGATTATAGCTTGCCTCAATCATAATGACCATCACCAAGAAAACAAAAGACAAAGTCTGGGAAGGATGTGAGGAAAAAGAAAACCCTTGCACACTCCTGGCAGGACTGTAAACTGTGTAGCCACTATGCAGATGAGAGTAGAGGTCACTCAAAAATCTGTAGATAGAAATACATAAGGTCCAGCTACACTACTCCTGCTAAGTACACAGTGGACTCTTGGTCTACATTACACAGAGATAACCCGCATACTCATGCTTATTGTGACACTATAAGAGCTAAGAGAAGGGACAAGCTGTCGTCCATCAACCGATGAATAAAGAAAGCATGGTGCCTATATACATCCAGACATGAAGAAAACTTTCCTACAGCCAAAGACGATTGTCTTGCATGAAATAAGCTAGACTCAGAAAGACAAATCCTGCCCCCTGTTTTCTCTCATATGCAGACTCTAAATTTGGGGAGACCACCAGAGGGGAGTAAGAACCATTAGGGAGTGTGTGAGGGGGCAGCTATGATATACACATGGGTATATATCATGAGTTGATACCAATAAAACAGAATTCAGATGTCATATTTCAATGCAAATTTCTATTCAGTAATAGATTTCAAACGGATGAGTTTGCATTTACAGACAGAAAGGTGCTGACAAAGCAAAACCAGATAGTATGGCTTGGTTTGGTCATTTCAAGGTTATTCCCCTTGTGCGGCTAAAACAGAGGAGACTTCCTTATTGTGCTTATTTGGGTTACATAGACTCTCCTGCTTATTGAAGCAATAACTGGCCCATTTCACTGTTCAATTTGACATGTAGCACACACAACTCCATTCTGTTTGGTTCTAACAGTGAATGTTTATAACTACTAACAGATAAACTTTTCTGGAGGGTGCAGTTCTGGAACAGCCTCCTGTTCTAGGTCCCCACAGTCCATAACCAACCAATACTTCAAGGTAATGTCCCTGCGAGCAACCATGTTCATTCAGTGCAGATGACAGTGTGAGAGTTCGCTCAAACAGCAGCAAGCTATGTCAGTGTCCCACCTCACAGGTTCATGGTCTACACCCCTGGGCTGGTTTAACCATCCCACGGAGGCTCACATTAGCCTTCAGGTAAACATTTGCTTTGCCCTCCATTTCTAGGACACATCTAGGGCTGCTGCATTTTTACCTGTCTTCATCTGATTTTTTTCTTCCCTCAAATCTACACCAGCACTTGGGTGGTGGTAGATTTTAGATTTAAAGAGAGGGGAAAGGGTTAGTTGAAGCAGCACTAAGTGCCTTAGAACCACAACGCTGTTGGCACAACCCAGACACCTAAACCAGTGTGGCGGAATAGAGAATTCATGAGAATGCTTGGATCTACCTTCTGCTGGTTTTTGACAAGGGAACCGAAAGCGTATACTGGAAAGAGGAAATTCTCTTTATTGAATTGTCCTGGATGGTTTCAGGGAAAAATATGTCCGCACAGAAGAGAATGCAATTCAAAGGTTACATTCTAGCATACATAACAATAAACACAAAATGATAGTGACTCTGTTTAAGAGCTTATAAAACCCAATAAAAATTGTAGTAGAAAATTCATGGCTTTTATGGGAAGTACTTCTTGACATCTGTCTAGACAAAGAGTTGTTATGCTCAACCCCAAAATTACAGGAAAACGCAACATGTTAAATGAGTTTGCGTCTTTACTCATTTAGCTGGGTGATTTATCTCTTTGCGTCTCAGTTTCCATATCTGTAAAGCAAAGCTAACTGTAAGTCCCGCCTGGAATGACTGCTGTCAGGATTACAAGAGATCATTTGGCGCACTGGCTGTGTTTAAACCACAATGATTACAGGCTGCTGTTTCTGTTGTGTTTTTTTGATGGGGTCTTGTGCAGCCCAGGCTGGCCTTGGTTTTCTGGGTAGCCAAGGAGGGCTTTGAACTCTGAGCCTCCACCTCTCCAGCACTGGGGTTGAGTATGCACTACCTGTGTGTGCGGTGCTAAGGGTAGGATCCAGGGCTTCATATGTGGTAGGCAATCACTTTACCAAGGGGGCTTCATCATCCCTAACGTGGCTACTGCTCCTTGTTACTCCCGGGGGGACAGGTGTCCTTTCTGTTTTCTTAACAGGAGGACCCTTTGATCTTTACCTTGTGTATTAACGTGACATGGAAACACGTTTAACTTAGGAGCACATCTGGGACCTCCATGCGCTTGCTCTGTGAGGGCTTTATCTGCCTCATGGGAACTGGCCAGCTGCTTGGGGGTGGCAGAGACCTGAAGGTGAGTCAGGGTCGGGTCTGTCTTGCAGCTGTACAGAGAACAAAACTGACACGCTATGAACTGCTGGTGTGGGATTTGGGGGCTCCTGAACCCCAGCTGTTCACGTTACAATGAGATAGTGCAACCATTGTAGCTGCTATAAGCGCTGTATTTCAGATTGTTTCACTGCACCACAGGTTAATGGGGCTCAAGACTGTGGTGGGGTGTATTGGGAGGGGGCGCTGAGTCTCCCAGGCTCTCGTGCCTCGGTGTCTCTAACCTGCAAGTGGTGGGGGGGAGACTTTAAAGAAGGAATTCTCTCAACAGGTGTTTCCCCTTAATCACCACACTTCCAGAACATTCCCATCTATCATACATAAGACCACCCCTCATCAGCAAGGTCTGCTGCCTTTTAGTGGGGGGGAGTCACACCAGAAATAGAAACCGAGGTCCTGCAGATGCTAAGGAAGCCTTCTGTCTTTGAGCTACAACTGGACCTTTATTATTATTATTTTTAAATTGTTTTATTTTGGCACAGAGCCTCACTAAGTCACCCAGACTGGACTTGAACTTGGCCCACCGTCCAGGCGGCCCTCAAACTCGTTCCCTTTTCATCTCAGTGCTGCCGTCCATACCTGCGCCTCCGCTTGGTGATGAAACCGAAGCAGAGCAGCGGAGCCTGCTTGGCCTCCAGGGATTCTCACAGACACTAGCTCAAAGCTACGGCCCCTCATGTGTAAACAGAGTCGAAGGACAGGCTCCAGGTACAGATGAAGGATAAAGCACACGTAGCCCCTGTTTGCTTGAACTAGAGTCCAGATGATAAGGCTGGAGTACAAAAAAGGTTCTGGTGGGTCCTGGGGGAGCAGCCAGCACCTGCCTCCTTTGGCCACACAAGCCACCTTTGGATGTGCTCCTCCACCAGCTGGAAAGCAGAGGTAAGGCACAGCCCTGAGTTCCCGAGAGACCTTGCTCATGGACCCAGGATGAGATGAGTCTGTTTGATGTCATTGATGACCTTGCTCGTGGATCGGGGATGAGTGTGTTTGATGTCATTGACGAGCTTGCTTGTGGATCCAGGATGATTGTGTTTGATGTCACTGACGACCTTGCTCATGGACCCAGGCTGAGTGTGTTTGATGTCATTGACAACCTTGCTTGTGGATCCAGGATGAGTCTGTTTGATGTTGCTATGACCTTGCTCATGGACCCAGGCTGAGTACGTTGATGTTGTTGACCTTGTATGACCTTGTTATAGATGCTGATGCTCTGGACAATCCCACTTTTCCTCCTGGGAGCAGCCCAAGGTAAGCAGCACCACAACCCTGTGTGAAGTAACAGGTGTGTTCACACGCTCTCAGCAGGACTAGAGAAAATTTCAGCCCAGACAAAGCTTGCAGGAGCCGAAGCCTTTCCTAGGCTTCTGGGAAGGGGGATGGAACTCAGCCTGGGAGAATAAGCTGGGTGGTTGGGGACGGGGAAGGGGGGCAGGAAATAGCTCCCTATACCTGGAGGAGCTTATGGCCTGGATTTTTGAGGAAAAAAAAGTTCTAGAACATCTACAAGTGGACTTTTGCTCAATTAATGTGGACTTCTTGGGGGGTTCTCTACAAATATGTTAGAATTCTGAGTTTGGAGAAGCATTGAATGTTTCAGATTTGTTTCCTTTATTGAAAATAGATTTCTTTTCATACAATATATCCTGATTACGGTTCCCCCTCTCCCCTACTCCTCCAAGTTCACCCCCATCTCCCCTCCTATCTGAATCCAGATCCTTTATATCTCTTGTTAGAAACAGGCATCTAAGGAATAATAATAAAATAAAAAATTTTAAAACCAAACAAATAAGAATATGACGAAAATACCAAACAAGAACCAGATTAAAGGTGCAAAACCTACATACATGTGCAGAGACACACATGTTCACACACACAGGAATCCCATAAAAACCCAAAACTGGACGCCATAACACATACACAAAGGACTTGTATGGTTAAAACAGATTCATCACGAGACAAAGAACCTCCAACGATGCTGTTGAGTTCATTTTGTGTTGGACATCTACACCTGGGCATGGGGCCTGCCCTAAAGAGGGGTTTGTTTCTCAGGGAGACTCCTTTGGAGGTAACCAGATTTTCATTTGCAAGTGGCTATCAATTTGAAATAGCTTCTGGGTTACCATGCCTTGCATGACTCTCATCAGAGAAGCTTCCTCCTGCAGTAGATGGGAACAAACATGGAGTCCCACAGTCAGACATTACAGAGAGAAAGACCTTGAAACACTCAGCCCTAAAAGGGATGTCTCCATCAAACCCCTTGCCTGGGGGCCTCAGGGATCTCCCCTAAAGAGAAGGCAAGTAAGCGCTCCTGAGCTCAGCCACAACAGCTTCTCCTTGAGCCTGTCATTCTCTCTCCTCAGGAAAAGAGGTTTGCTATAACAACCTTGGATGCTTTTCTGACACCGAGCCCTGGGCGGGGACAGCCACCAGGCCTCTAAAACTTCTCCCTTGGAGCCCTGAGAAGATCAACACCCGCTTCCTGCTCTACACCAATGAGAACCCAAACGCTTTCCTGGTGAGACGCTTCATGAACTCTGCAGGGCATCTCCTTATCCTTGTACCTGCTCCCAGTACCCTGCCCAACCTTCAGGGTGAGTGAACGGTTCGTAGCTGCAGGATCCTCCTGCTAGCTCTGTAGCTTTGGTCTGGGCTCGGGGCTTACCGTCCAACAAACCCATGGGAACGATAACCCCATGAGTCCCATCCCAGGTCCAGAGGAGGCAGGGGCTCAGGGGTAGAGAGGTCAGCATGGGCATCCCGAAGAGCTGATTTTGTGTTCAACCTTCAGAGGCCAACACACTGGGCCAGGCAAGGGTGGAGAAGGGGAAAGACAGGCTTAAGAGTCAGGCTGCAAAAAAAGCTGAAACCCTCTCTGTTTGTCATAGCTCCTCCAGCCTTCTGACCCGTCAACCATTGAGGCCTCCAACTTTCAAGTGGCCAGGAAGACCCGGTTCATCATCCACGGCTTCACAGACAAGGGAGAAGAGAACTGGGTGTTAGACATGTGCCAGGTGGGACACCTCTGACCCAGGTAGCCACGTCGCACTGAGCTGTCACTTTACACAGACACAACACATACGCTTGACAGGAGTGCCTGCTCTCGCCTTCAGCAGCTGTGTTTGTATTCTGAAAGTGAGGGACTGTGGAGTTTTGTATGGCCAAATCGTCCCTCACATTCTTAAGAGTCAGAGGTTATGTAGCTGTGACCATTCATTTATTTAAGACACAAGAAGCTAAGATTGACAGGATGATTTTTTTTGTTTGTTTGTTTGCTTTGGTTTTTCGAGACAGGGTTTCTCTATATGTGGCTTTGGAGCCTGTCCTGGAACGCCCTCTGTTCCCAGTGCTGGCTGTCCTGAAATTGGCCACATGGGCTCCTAGGCTGTGGGACCTGGGACCTTACCAGTAATCCTGCCTAGGCCTGGAGTCCGACTTCCTGCTTCTCCGGCCACATGGGCTCCTAGGCTGTGGCCAATGAGGTGGACTTTAGAAGGTGAGTAGCTGTAGTTTGTCTAGAGAGGAGAGATCACAGGGTGGACTTGTGCTCTGGTTAGCATGACTCCCCCGCTGGGAACTCTCCTTGCTTTCTGGGGCCTCTGAATTGAGTGCTAGTGCCCCGACAAGGATCTCAATACTTTCCCGGCTCAAAGTGGCCCTTCTTAGACTCGTCTCTAGCTAACGCTCATTGTGGCTTCAAACAAGATGCTTGTTAATCCAGTTTCCAGCACCAGACTTCCCAGGATCTGCAGGGATATCTCAGGGTTGCTCCGACAATGGAAGCCCCAAGGAACACATCTATCAGAACGTGGAGATGTTATGTGTGTTAGCACTGTAGTGAAGAGGTTAGAAGAGGACCTCAGCTGTGGGCGTCAAGATGACCACACGCACACAGGCTGGCTGAGCACCTGTGGGGGTGCCTCCTTCCTAACTCCCCAACCTCTCTCACATTTGTGCTCCCTCCGTTTTTCATATTCCTGCCGTGTGTGCTCCCTCCACAATATGTGATGCCATCTTGACTGTGGAAAATGACACCCCCTCCCTCTTTATAGCTCAAGAAATGTTCAGTGGTCTGGCATGTCACATGAAGTTACCTCTCCCAAGCAGAAACACAAGGTCGCATAGACAGAAGTCGCCGGACACTACGCTGAGGTTTTTTTTTTTTTCCTGTCAGACAGACCCAATTCCTTTAATGGCGTCACTGAGCCGCCTTCATCAGATTTGGTTGAAGAAATCAGAAGGACTGGCTCGTCCTTCATCTATAGGGTGTGGATCTTCTCTGCTGCTAGTACTTGCCCTGGTAGATCGCAGGATCCCCCTGACAGAATCCAGTCCATCTCAGCACCCCAGCTAGAGGAAGAGACGGAATACTTTTGACCCCTGGCTGGCTGGGTGGGTGTCCCCATCCCTGTGGCAACGCCGTGTCTCCCCACCCCCTAGAACTTGTTCAAAGTGGAGGAGGCAAACTGCATCTGTGTGGACTGGAGGCGAGGCTCTCGGACCACCTACACGCAGGCCGCCAACAACGTTCGAGTCGTGGGTGCCCAGCTGGCTCACATGCTCCACGTCCTCGAGGTGAGTGGGCCAGCGGGGGTGGGGCACAAAGGTGAATTTAGGAGCTATGGAGGAGACACGAAGAAGCGGACACCTCCTTAGTGACACGGGAGTGAGAGAAAAACTTACCAGCTCACGCTCAGTGGTGGGATTTCACAGGGGTCACTTAAGACCATCGGAAAACACAGATTAGTTACATTGTGATTCATAACAGTAGCAAAATTATGGCTATGAAGTAGCAATGGAAATAATTTTTGTGTGGAGGTCACCACAACATGAGGAGCTGTATTTATCAGGGGGTCACAGCATTAGGAAGTTTGAGAATCTCTGTGTTAGAGGGTTCTGGAGATGGGGGAGCGGGTATGCAGTGTTTGTGCGGGCACATGGGAATAATCTACCGTGTGTGGGGGGTGGGGTGGGGTGGCATTTGGGAAGATAGGAGGATGAGCTACAGTAAACCAGGCCCAGGGGTGAAGGAGTAGGACACTGTTTGAAGCCACAATGAACTTTAGCTAGAGACGAGTCTAAGAAGGGCCACTTTGAGCCGGGAAAGTATTGAGATCCTTGTCGGGGCACTAGCGCTCAATTCAGAGGCCCCAGAAAGCAAGGAGAGTTCCCAGTGGGGGAGTCATGCTAACCAGAGCACAAGTCCACCCTGTGATCTCTCCTCTCTAGACAAACTACAGCTACTCACCTTCTAAAGTCCACCTCATTGGCCACAGCCTAGGAGCCCATGTGGCCGGAGAAGCAGGAAGTCGGACTCCAGGCTTAGGCAGGATTACTGGTAAGGTCCCAGGTCACATTCCCACAGCCCCAGACCATAGCCCAGTTTACCAGCTGCCTGAACCCCGTGGCTGGGAACAACATGGACAGAAGATTCTAGGACGCTTCTAAGAAGTACGTGGGCCATCGCTATTGGCAAGGGAGACGGTGGCTGTGTTTCTCCATGATGCTTCTGCCCGTGGCCCCAGTTGCTCCTCTCCAGGTGCAATCTTTCCCTTGACATGGGTCGGGCAGCAGCCTTGAACACCCAGGAAAATGCAGAGTGCAGATAGTGTGGACAGGAGCAAGTGTTCTTGAACAGGGACTACACCACCCATTCCTTCCTTCTTCTCTTATAAGTCAGCAGAGAGTGGAACCTGGAAATTGCTTCCCACTTTTTCTGCTGGCCAAAGGATCCCAGCTGCTGTAACTACCAAAATCACTCTTTAACTGGCACCATCAAAGCAGCCTTCAAACACAGCAAAGCCTTTGCACTATAGCAAGAGCCATAGATAGAACATATCTGCAATGAGAATACTAATGCCATTATTAAAGGAAGCATAAGCTAAGTGCCTGGTTACCCTAAATACTGCAAAAAGCACTTTGTGTTTCTCATCTAATCCTTAGAACCAAAGAAGCTCTGCCAGGGAAGCAAACAGCTTGCCCAAGAGCAGACAGATTATATGAATCCATGCCCAAGAACAACAGATTATATGAATCCATGCCAAGAACACACAGATTATACGAATTCATGCCAGTCCCTGTGCCCCACATTGTGTATAAATTATTTAATCACCAACAACTATATAAGCTGATGAAGTTATTACCTTCAGTGTATAAAATAGGAAAATTAAGATACAAAAATCTCGAATGACTATCTCAAAGTCATGCACAACTTGCCCCAAAAAGTATCTCAGTTCAGATCTGGAACCAGCAACTGGTACAGGCCCAGGACTCTGTATTCTTCACTAAGATAAAAGAAAGGAAAATGAGGGTATTAAATATGAACGATACTTAGAGGAATCTGACGTAGAAAGAAATCCTTTTCTCCACAATCAAACAAAATCTGAGCTCTTTTCTCATCCTCTCCTGCCACCGAACCCCCGCCTTGAAATGAGTGGCCCCGAGACTCCACGCCCCATCTTCTGTCGACAGGCAGCGGCACTGTATTGCTACCAGCGTGGTGCCTGCCCAATTGCACGCTGGCCAGCCTGTGCAAACACACACCTTGGCCTTCATGCTTGCTCCTTCACTGTTTGACACTGTCAGCTGTCTCTTTTAGGACTGGACCCTGTAGAAGCAAACTTTGAAGGCACTCCTGAAGAGGTGCGACTTGACCCCTCAGATGCTGACTTTGTCGATGTGATTCACACAGATGCAGCCCCCTTGATCCCATTCTTGGGTGAGCACTGGGGTGTTCTAGTCTCTAGCTGCGGACAGGTGGTATGTTAATTCCGAGAGCGCCATACAACCCGAATCCACTCGCTGTTGTGACAAATATTTTAGGGTTTGGAACAAATCAAATGATGGGTCACATTGACTTCTTCCCCAACGGGGGACAGAACATGCCTGGGTGCAAGAAGAATGCCCTATCACAGATTGTGGACCTAGATGGCATCTGGTCAGGTAAGGCCATGTGGGCCAGTCCGGGAGGACAGTGAGTGTGTCTTTGGGGTACTCAGAAATTGCCATGACAGATCCCCTTTCCCACCCCACCCGTGTGTGTGTGTGTGTGTGTGTGTGTGTGTGTGTGTGTTGTAGAAGTGCATGTGTGTGTGGAGACTAGTGGAAAACTTTGTGTGTCATTCTTCAGACACTATGCACCTCCACCATGCCAGCACTAGCAAAAGCATGCATTGCCACATTTAGCTTTTTTTCCACTTGAGTTCTGGGCATCAAACTCAAGTTCTCATAGTTTCATGGCAAGCATTTAACTGACTGAGCTGTCTTCCCAGCCCCGTAGCAAGTCTTAGTGGTAAAAATATACTTCCTTATAAAAAATGCATGACTTCCTTTTCTGCATATTATTTCTGAAAAAAATAACTACGGTGCTCTCAGATTCTGTATTTCCTTAAAACGTTGCCGTGGATTTGCCGGACTGCATGAGCGACAAGGAGTCGCAAAGCTCTGGCTTACAGCTACAATCCCAACTGCCAGCTGGTAGTCACCATGTAGAGAAGGGGCAGTGACATGACGGATTTCTCAAGAGAATTTTCCTGCAAATGTTCCCTGTGAATCAATATTACAGTTCAACTTTTAGGTAACTCGCTTCAGTCCAGTAACTAGAACAAGGGTATCCCAGAGGCATGCATGGCTAAGCCATCTTCACCACGCAAGCCATTGCTCACTTATATTGAGCAGGAATGAGGAGCGGTCGCAGGAGGGAGGCTAGAAAGGGGACTGTCCACTTTCGATTGGTGAGCATAGGTGGGCATCCATCAGTTAACAGCTCCAATACTTCCTAATGAGGTCAAGCATTCAACAGTCATTTTCGGCTACACAAGTCAACTGGCAGCAGTTTGAGTTAAAACCCATAGCGGTATGATAGAATCTTATGAGCGTCACTATTGCTCAATTCAATCAAAACGGCTTAGATGCCCTTGATGCAAACATTAATGACACACGTCTGGGCTTTGACAGCTCCGTCAGTAGTGGACAATAAAGTCTGGGCAGATCTAGATGGAATGCCGGGAGATTTGTCAGGTGGCTTGAGCGAGGACTTGAAAGACTTCTGTAGGAGAGGGGATAAGACTGACATTCAGCTGAAGCCACCGAAATCTACTTTTCCCTTCATTTGCGTAAGCGTGTGGTGACAATGTCCTAGTGCTTACGGTGTCACATATGGAGGAATGTGGCCCATGTGGTTGTGTCTTTGAGGATTTCTAAGCTTATTCCTGGACACAGAGGCTAGAGGGGGAGTATTGAGCACCAGATGGACAGTGTTTCATCACAACTCTCCCCTTTTGGTAGCTGTCATCTGTGAATTCATCTGTGGGTACTTTCACAAAAGGGATGCTATGGCACCTGCCTCCTGGAAAAGGGGAGGGTTTAGTGGGCAATACCAATGAAGTAACCAGACATTATACCCCCCCACCAACACGCAAAGCCACGTTTGTTTATTGTCATTTTTGTGAATGAATTATGAACTCAAGTTCTGTAGGTACAGTCCCACTCTGGACCTATTACACCAGAGACCTATTACACAGTCCACCTGAACTGACCTCCTCCTGCCTTGTGTCCCCAGGAACCCGGGACTTCGTGGCTTGTAACCACCTGAGAAGCTACAAGTACTACTCGGAGAGCATCCTTAGCCCTGATGGATTCGCTGCATACCCCTGCACTTCCTACAAAGACTTTGAGTCTGTAAGCTATTACTCTGCCATGACTGACGGGCACCACACGCTGCAGTCCCCACTATGCGGGGGATCCATCTCGATGCATGTCTGCCATGTCCCTCAGAATGCATACTCCTATGGAGTAGGGGCAGGAAAAAAGCCACAACTTTTGGTAGGCTATATACATGCATGAATACATGCATGCATGCATACATACATACATACATGCATCTATACATACATACATACATATATACATACATACATACATTCAGAGAGAGAGCTCAAATGAGCCATGTAGAAGAGGAAAATATTCTGGAAGATGAGAGAGCAAACACAGAAGAGAATTGTGAGGACAGTGCCACCCTCAGTCTAGAACAGAAGAAAGGCAGGTGATGGGATTCTGTGTGCCAGGTTGGCCACAGGGAGGGGACCAACATCACAACACACTGCTGCCTGCCTCATTGACTCATGAGAGCCACTGGACCATCCCTCATCAGCTCCACACGAGTGACATCATGTTGGCAGCCTCAAGTTGGCCGGGATTGGAGTATTTATACCATAGAAATTGGCCAACTCTAGGGCTGGAGCTGTAGCTCAGTTGACGGAACACCTGCTTGGCATACACAAAGCCCCAGCTTCAATCCACGGCCCCTTATAAATCAGAATCGTAGATCAAGACTATGATGCCCAGCATCCAGGAGGCAATAGTAGGAGGTTCAGAAGTCATCCACAACTATAAAGTGAGGTCACAGAGAGTCGCGGGTGAGTAAGATTCTGTCTTAAAGAAAGAAAAGGAGAACTATTGGCAAGCTCTACAGTCAATATGGAGAGTTGATACCACTAGCAGCTTGAGTAATACAACTGACGGAAGCTGGGCCCAAGACGGCAGTGCCATTTAAAAGGCCCCGATCGCTCTAACGTGCTGTACATCAGGGCTAGGAGCTCTGCTGAGATGGAGGGTATTTGGAGACAATGGGCTCCAACTCTCTTGCCTTTGCAGACAAGGGAACTGGGATGCCCTGGGGAAATGGAGCGACAGCTTTCTCCAGCCATCTGGATGGCTCTGCTTCTCAGCCCCCTGCTCTCTTTACTAGGGCAAGTGCTTCCCCTGCCCAGATCAAGGCTGCCCGCAGATGGGCCACTACGCCGATCGGTTTGCCGGCAGGACGAGTGAGGAGCCGCAGAAGTTCTTCTTGAACACAGGAGACGCCAAGAGCTTTGCACGTAAGCTGACTACATGTCCGGGTCCAGAATGTGCGCCATGCCTGTTATGAGGGAAAGCTTGCCTCTCACCTGGAAGAGTTCTGAACACACAGTTGACCACCTAGGAGAAAGACGTATTTGCCCTGAGCGTCTCATTCATGATTCCACTGAGGCGAAGAGAGCATCTGAACTTCCTCCATTTTATTTCAATTCTGTGGAATGACTGCAAGTCAAAGGGTGATTTGCAGGGTTGAGGCAATTTGCACAGCTTTGGTAACAGCTAGCTTGAATTTTTATTCCTCTCCAGATTCATTATTCTTTTCCTTTTTAGGACTCGTGTGTGTGTGTGTGTGTGTGTGTGTGTGTGTGTGTGTGTGTGTGTGCGTGCGTGCCTGTCTGTCTGTCTGTCTCTCTCTCTCTCTCTCACACACACACACACACACACACACACACACACACACACACACACCTCTGTATTCATTCAGCAATGAATGAATAGCTCTTTGCCAGGTGGGTCTCCACAGGAGACACAGCCTCAGTCTCAGCCCCTGCCCTTCCCTACTCTTGGTGCCTTTCCGATGTAGAGCAGCCAGTTGAGGGAGGGATGATTTCCTTCATAGTCCCACCTGAGTTCACTCAGATGCTAGGGTCCAGATTAGGCATCTTTGGGCCATTTGTGGCAATTTACTTAGTGAGTTCCATGATGTACCACTCAGTTATAAACAGAAACAATGCATTTATAAAATAGTATAACAACAATATGTCTTGTGCAGCTTATGAAAGTTTAGGTGTACCGTGGTATAATTTACAGATAGCAAGAGTCATTATTTTTAATACATGCTTCTGGTTTGACAAACCAATAGATGGGTAGCCAGCTTTCCCAGAGATTCAAGGCCTTCCCATCATTGTAAATACACACACCTATAAAATTTTTTTGCCAGGAGACTGGTTAATCAACCCCCACTAATATGGCAATACTTGGAAGGGCTTGCCTATATTTTAACTATAGCAAAGGAATCATTTATTCCCCCATCAACACTTATTTATGGATCACAGATACGGGTTGCTAGGTACAGGGATGCAAGGATGATCACGGCAGTGCTGTGAAAATGGATGAGTCCTTGGCAGCACTGGGTCTGGTGGGGCTGCTGCTGGAGTGAAAGGATGGGGAGCTTGACACTGAGAAGAGAAGTGGAAAAGGGTAACATCTCTGGGAATGCAGAAGGTGAGTGGGAGTTAGACAGGGTATACATGTGCTTGTGTATAAATGTATGGATGTGGATAGATGGATGGATGGATAGATAGATAGATGTATACATGCATGGATGTAGATAGATAGATAGATAGATGTATATATGCATGGATGTAGATAGACAGATAGATAGATGCATGGATGTAGATAGATGTATATGTGGATAGACAGACAGACAGACAGCTGGGTGAATTTGTCTTTAATGTGTGTGTAAATTGGATGCACATATGCATATATGTGTATATATGGGTATACTGTGTGTATGTATGTATGTATATATATATATATGTGTGTGTGTTTGTATGCTCTATGCCTCTGTGTGTGTGTGTGTGTGATATGCCTGTATGTGTACTTGTGCATGCACACAGGTCCTGGGACAGCATGCTAGGTAGAAGTTTATATGATATTACCTGAGCACCAGAGGCCCTAGGGGTGCAGACATGTGACAGTCCCAGCCTGGAGGTGCTCCGCACTCCTAAGTTGTCCTCCCATGGGTGGCCCGGAGCCCTGGGTTCCTCTTCTTGTCGTAATACATAGCACCACCACCCTGGAGCGGGCTTGTTCAGCCCTGTTGGATCCAGAAACTATTGACTCCATGTGGCAATTTAAAACCCACAGCATGGTTAGTGAACTTGACAGAGAACACGTTTAATTCTATTTATTATGGCTTTAACTGTAAGCAGGTCCAGAGGGGCAGCCTGGGTGCTCATTTAAGATGTGAGTTAGCGAGTGTGAGCTCTCATACTTGTAAGTGCACGGGTGATGGTAATCTGGGCTAACCTCTCCCTTGCTCTGCCCAGGTTGGAGGTACCGGGTTTCCTTGACGCTGTCTGGAAGAACAGTCACTGGGCAGGTCAAAGTGGCTGTGTTTGGAAGTAAAGGCAACACTCAACAGTATGATATCTTCAGGTAATCCCCGTACAGTGTGCATAGCACTAAACGCTTACATCTTTAGACATCAGAGGGTTTGAAACTACTTTATGTGCAGAAAATAACTTTATACTTCCAACAATTTCTAATTTGATCCTAACCATTTCTTTCTCTCTTGATATATTATTATTATACCTTAAAAATCTATTGTTGCTCCAGATAACACACGTTAAGCTAAGACAATAGCCTATGATATAGATGATTCTTGTAGAAAAAAAACTAAAATAGTTTGAGAGAGTTTTATCATTTTCTAGCAAAGAAAAGAGAAATTAATTCGAGTTGAAAATGCAAGTCTAAGGAATAGATTGGGTTTGGCTTCTTATTGCCAACTTTCTATTCCTCCGTCTTTGATTCGAGGATACATCTGGAAGAAGGCTCACTACTGATAAGAGTGGACAGGCATCGCCCTTTGTCGTCAGTATAATGTCCTTCCATGAACATGAATGTTTCTCCTTCTTTATTTCAAGGGGCGTTATGAAGCCAGGTGCCACACATTCCAATGAGTTTGATGCCAAACTTGATGTGGGAACAATTGAGAAAGTCAAGTTTCTTTGGAACAACCACGTGGTAAACCCAAGCTTCCCCAAAGTAGGTGCAGCCAAGATCACTGTGCAAAAGGGAGAGGAGAAGACCGAGTACGTATCTTCCCTTAGCTGGGTTGTCTAGAGATGTTTGCAGAGGATGCATGCAGGGGAGCCCCCTCCCCAGACAGATAAGAAAAAAGAAATCATTTGAGAGAGGACAGAGAAAGTACAGGAGGGACAGTACTCGAGGAATCCCATCCACACCCACAGTTCCCTCTTTCTGCCTTCTGTAGAAAAGAGAACAGCTGGAATGGGGAAGGTATGATGGCCTAGGTAGGCAGCACCAAGCTCCTCTCCAAGTCAGACCGCAGAACTTTTGAGACTTTGTGGGAAGTGCCGGCTACTGGTGTTCTTAAAGAGGCCATCAAACTCATACCCTTGGAAATATCACTTCCTTGGGTGAGGAAGAAGGGTTGGCTTGTGGTTGACTCACAGGTCACCAACGTGAGTGGCCTTCTGAAGTCACCCCTGTTTTCCACAAGGTGGGAAAGCAGAGACATCAGACTGGTCAGGTGACCAGCCGGACTGGTATCCTCTCAGTGGGACTACAGCACAGAGGAGGCCCAGGCTGGCCAGTGGAGAGCCGTGCCTCCACCTTCCGCTGTAAGCCGCTGCCTCTAGAGTCAGGTCCTAAGTTCTGATAGGCCTGGATTCTGCCACTGTGTAGCTAAAGGCACATTAGGATGTCACTGGAATCCTGAAGGTTTCTGAAGAGAGAGATAATGCGCTTTCTGGAAATCAAACAGGTCTAGTTGAAGAGAATTCCTGAGGCCCTGTGGCCCTGAGCCCGTCTATGTCTGTAGACCCCTCCAGTGGCCGAGCACAGCTACTTTGCCTACTCACTCTCTGTGGGGAGAGCCTTTCTTAAAGTTTTTTATGCCTTTATTTGGCATGTGCCATGGTGTACGCAGACTCAGAGGACAACTCACTGGTGTCAATTCTTTATGCTGTTAGGAGAATTTGCCAGGAACACGTGTTACTAAATAACACTAATAATAATGATAAAGCTAAAGAACAATCAATATTGTGGCTCAACCTCTTCTGGGCTCCTTCTCCCATGTCATCTGATGTAGTCATCTCAAGGGGATTCCAAACGCTACCTAGGACCCGCTGACGGGACTTTCTTCCAGCGACATGAGACCAAAAGAAAAATAGAGCCTGCCCTGCCCCATCCCACTCAGTACCTAGTGTAAATGTGACCTTGACAAGGAGTCCATGAGTACCTGTCCCAGAAAATAACAAAGAAAGCAAAGGTAGAGCCTGCATTGAGGAAGTTAGACACTAGCTGTTGAGAAAAAAAACAAGACTTTGGGCACACATGGCAGTCACATGACCCAGGGGGAGGGCAGAGACCACAGAGTGCTGGGGAGACTCGGGGAGGAAGGGGAGGGCAAGGAGAGGGTACTAAACACTGTTTCTCCTCGCAGGTACAACTTCTGTAGTGAGGACCTGGTGAAAGAAGACACTCTGCTCACTCTCCTGCCTTGTGACACCTCAGACACGATGTGACCTCGTTAATGCCAATAAAAAAAATCCTGTTGCGCATACCCACGAAGCATCTATCTCCATGTCAGCCGCCACCCACGGGGACATTCAGCAACTGATGAGCATTTCTCTGCGTGTGGGTCTCTCTCTCCTTGGCCTCTAACAAAACTCCACCTCACCCCACTTCCTTGGTCTCCTCCAGGCTCACTTTCCTCCTCCTCGGAGAGGGTGTAGGTTCATAGTAAAGGGGAAGCGGCCAGCAACCCGGCCGAGTCCTCGTCCTGACTGCATCATCTTACAGTGGGAAACTGAGGCAGTGAGCAGGGAGGTCCTATACTTAGACATGGATTCAGGCCCCCACCAGGAGTGAGAGCCAAGCTCAACTCCATGGTCAGTGCTCCCTCCCCACCCAGCTACTGAGTGTGGGGAGTACGGAAATAATACTTTACGATGTTTATTTCCTGGCACGTTAAGAGGTGACAAAGGGTTTTTAATTGGGGAGGACCCCAAGGCGACTCTTACAGAGAAACAAAGAGACTAGTGTGAGCTCATGTACACTGTCAGTCCCTCTAGACTTCAAAACTACTACTACTAGGGACCCTCCCTGCCTGCCTGGCTGCCTGCCTGCCGCCAGCTCTAAAGGCTCCTAAATGGATTCTAGGAGGTGCATAATGCAGACTTACTTCCTCCTAGAATTACTGGCGAGCCCTCAGTCACAGATATCTCTAACACGGCCGTACTTCTCACAGACTCGGGTATAGGTGGGCAGTGTCAAGAGCACGCCGTGTCTGAAGCAGCCGGATGCTCCTGCGTCTTTCCCCAAAGCCAGAATGTGTTGAATAACAATAAACTGGACAAATCATGTCAGCTTTCTTGGGTGATGCTCACCAAGTGCCCCCGGCTTTGCTTGATCGTCACAGCCATGGCCATGGGCTTTCACAAGTCCTTTCACTCTGGAGTTAATTACTAGTGCTAACTCTCAGACTTAAAACGTTACATCAGACGAGTGGGCCAGGTCAGAAGCTTTCTGAACTGCAGCAGAGAGCTGTTCACAGTGGAGACTTGTCAAATGCAGGGCAGGCTGTTCCAAACACTACTGTCAAGTAGGCTGAGTATCATGGGCAGGAGAAACCTCCCCCAGAGCTGGAGCCTGGGCTCACAGGGAACGGTCCCCCATGTGGTCGTTTTCCTGATGGAGGCTGGTGACAAAGGACTAGGGGATGAGCCTGCCAGCCTGCCACATCCCAGTCTTGGAATGCTCCCTTGCATAGCCCTGGGTCTGGAGTTTTTGGTATGACTTGATGTAGTCACAGGTATCACCATTCACTAGCAGAATAAATAAATAATCAGTTTGTGCCTCCTTGTGGAGGTGAAGCAGACGGGGGCCGCGTAAATCAGATGAAGATCTCATCTCTCCTGGCGCCTATACTCAGATGGAATGACTCAGGTCCACATTGCTGTTTTAGGAGACGGAGTAATTCAAGACCAAGGCTGTGATTTTACAGAGTATACAGCAGCCCCCAGCAGGCCCAGTCTCTTCTCACCCAGCCTAGTCATAGGCCATTCGGTCATGCCACGCCCTCCCCAGGGTGTGACTCCTTTAGTTGCCAGGCCTAATGTCCCACCACAGGTGCCTCAGTACCTGGCTCTTTCTGCCCAGCTGAGTCACAACCAAGCATTCCCAGAGCTTCAGACTCGAACGTGAGCGGCTGGAAATGGTGCTGTGGAAGGCTCTGAAGAGGCCGCCGTAGGAAGGAGAGGGCTTCCTAGTGTAACCGAGCAAACCTAAACAAGCCTTTGACAATGTGCCTTTAAAGGTTGTTAATTCTGAGGGGAGGTGGCTTAGTGGCTAAGAGTACTCACTCGCTGCTCTCAGAGAGAGCCCAGGCTCAGTTCCCGGCACCCACACGGCCACGGCGGGGCGGCTCAACAGCCCTCTGTCACTTCTGACTCAGAGGCTCCAGTGCTCTTCAACCCCCCCCCCATAGCCCACAGGCATGTGTGTGATACATGGAGACATCTGTGCAGGCAAAACAGCCACACACCTTAAATCAGTAAATAAACAGTTGGTACTGATGCTGGTCATCCACACAGGCGGCAGGATGTGTCATGCCTCTCTCCCCGACTTGCTTGGATGACGTCTCTGCTGTGTAAGCGTGCTCTGATGACCACCGCTCTGATGCCCACCGCTCTGATGCCCACCCCTTTTTCAGAGCCTTGACTGCCACCAATGTCAAAAGCACTCACTTCTCCCTGGGGCCCACGTGGGTGCCCCGCAAGCGACTAAAACTGTAAAGGGGCTTGGCATCCCCGCCTTCGTCTTGGAACATCTGTCTCCTTGGTTACCTTACCCTTTGGGGACGAACATTTCTGCTAGTACAGACAAATTGGCACTTGGGGGATTATTTGTCTGGGGCCGAGAGCTCAAGGTTAATTTATCTGAAACCTTCCCAGTCTCTACCACCGCCCCCTTCAAGACTGAAGATGACAGATAAGGAGTATCTAGGATTCCATCAAAGATGACGGAGGCGTCACCATCAGGAATCTGCCAGCTACCACATTTTCATATCCGGGACACTGGAGAGGCATGGCTGACGTGTCCCCCCTGCCTCTGCCTCTTGCTTAAGGGAGAGGAACCTGAAACTGACATGGAGAGGCTACCATTTCTCCGTGTTTGTCCACCTTTTGGCTCACTTTCTAGTATTACTGCAGCTGTGTCCTTTCTTCCTTTTTTCCAACAGTGTGTTCTCCATCCTAGGTGCCTCTCTTGAAATTGTCAAACGATCAGACTTAGGTTCAGCAGCAACAGCACAGAAGGCCAGTGAAGGCTCAGTAATGAGTAGCCATGCAGTAGACAGCAAAGATGATGGCAGTAGCAAGGGACACTCAGGTCCTCGGAGATGGGCCCTCCAAGCAGCCAGGGCTGATTAAATGCTACATGGTCTCTTGCCACGGTTAGAACCAGCAGTAGACCTGACCCCACACCCCAGGTAAGGTGGCACCATGTTAGCAAAAGAGCTCAATCAGTGTAGTATAGCTTCTACAATTCTACAAACACATACCGCACAGCATTTCCGCACACGTGACTCTGCTGGGCCACTGGGTGCAGAGGACACCAATTGTATTCTGTGAGTGTGAGTATAAGTGCCGGGCTAACATAGGCACCTGCCACACTGCTATGCTCTGGTTACACAGAGATGCCTGCCCCCAGGACAGGGTGACCAGGAAAGAGAAAGAACATATCGGTAAAGTCTCCACAGGTTGATGGGGGAAGTCCTCCTGTGTATATGCTTGTCCAATTGGTTGATACATAAAGCTCTGTTGGCCAATTGGTAAGCAAGATAGGTGGGACTAGGAGTTGAGGAGGATTCCGGAAACACAATCAAGGGTAAAGAGTCGCCATGTGATCCCGGGGAAGAGAGGACTCATGAGGCTGCATACTCTGTAAAATAAGACCTTATAAAAATATGCATTAGTAATTATGGGCCAATAATTAAGTCAGAGCTAGTCATTATGAAACCATAGCGAATGGCCAACAGCTTCATAATATAGCATCCTGCGTGTTCATTTGGGACTGACGTGGCTCTGGGACCAGGTTGTTGGGAAGGAATGTGCATTACAACAGAGGAGGTGGTTTTGGGCCCAGGTTTGATGAATGACATCCCCAGAGATGTCAGGCTGACAGGCTAGCCGGGAAGAAGCAGTCACTATGGATATACTAACTGTAGAGGATGAGAACTATCTGAAGTTGGAGCCCAACATGACTGAGGTAGTCATGAATGACAGCCCCGCTCCCTGATCAACAGTCATGGTGGCACAGGACAAATCATTTGAAAAACAGAGCAGACAGCATTACACAGTGACGGAGGGAGGAAAGCAGTTGGGAAGCGCCTGCCGGCCACTCTGCTGCCGCACCATTCATATCAGCGCTCGGGTAACCCGAGTCCTAACAGATAAAGTCCTGCAGACACAGCCATATGATCTAATGGGGCAGTCATAGCCAACGGGCCCCAAACTGGAGTAGCACCAAGTCCCTTCCCCCCCACTCCATTTCCTAGAAGGCATGCCGTCATATGCAGCACGTACTTGGACAGAGTGTCCCCACATGAGCTATGCACCTGGACAATACTCACAGGAAAGCAAAGGGCAGGTCCCAAGGTCGCACTGACAGGTGTAGGGAGTCAAGAACCCAATTGCCTGGTACTGCTGGGATATGCACTCTCACGTGCTGACCTCAGAGATGGATGGACTCTGCTGGGATGTACACTCTCCGTTGCTGACCCCGGAGATGTACAGACTCTCTGTCGGGATGTGCACCCTGGATGAAATGACAGACCCTGGAGATCCACCATAGAGGGCCTCGCCCTCCCTGGGGATCAGAGTGGAGATTGTATGGGGGGCTGGGGGCATGGTGGGGAGGGTGGGGAGGAGGGGAGGGAGAGGGAGCTGGGATTGACATGTGAAACAAGCTTGTTTCTAACATAAATTAAATCAAAGGAAGAAAAAAAAACAAAACAACAACAACAAAAGCTCAGAGGGCCATTCAGACTGCCTGGAGGCAATATAACAGGGCTGTGAGCCAGGAGTGGGCTTAATCCAGAGTACTTGTGCAAAGGCTATGGCTATGGCCTCTCTGGTTCATAGCTTCCTCGTACATCCAGTGGTGGCATTAAGTGGGGCCTCGAATTCCTAGTATTGGAGTCTGTAGGCTTTAACAAGGAAACCAACGGCATGTTGAACTGTCACGCTGTATCCTCAGCTAATACAAGCTAACTGGGTTAACGTGAGGGTGTTGGTCATGGTCTAGCTATAGACCTACAGGTGAGGAAAGTAGTTACAGTCCCCAGATCTGAGAGGCAGCAATAACTGTGAAGACAGGCTCTATGCCCAACTCATCTACACCCTGTATACAACCTCCCAAGATGCACAGGGCTGACCCTGGCCTGGTTGGGGGGGAGGTGCATCAGAGTCCAAGGACTGATGAAGACATCATCAAGAAGTTTTGAGTGTCCTCCATTCAGGAGGCAGACCGGAATCACACGAGCCATTAAAATG